AAAAAAAAAAAAAAGAGAGAACTGGTGATCTAGGAGAGGACAAAAACCCAAGACCCACGAAGCAATGAGGCTGAGAGGAAGCACAGGTGTCTGTAGCCAACGGGACAGGTGTCTAGGTCGTTGGAGGGATGGCACCAGACCCCGACAGACAGCACTGAACTTGGGCTTTGATCAAGGGGGCATTCCCATTCCAAACTGGGCAAGCCTGGGGGTTGCCCACAGGGAAGGTGTGGTGGGATGGTGGCAGAGTGTGTATGTGTGGCGGCGGGGGGCGGGGGGTGCGGGCAGGAGTGACCTGGAGCCTGGGGATGTGCCAGAAGCCATGGGAATGAGGCCTGGGAAAAGCTCAGGGGCCTGGAAGAAAGAGGGTCCTTCCTTCTGAATGCTCCAAAGAGTGTTAAGAGGAGGCACGAGCTCCTGAGCAGGACTTTCAGAACAATTCGTTTGGGGGTGTGCACGGCAGGGGGCGGGGCGCGCCTGAGAGGCAGGTCCTAGGGCTGGCCAGCTCTTGTAGTAAGGAGACAATGGGAACGGGCAGGAAAGGGTGTAGGAAGGAGGCCCAGCCCCAAGCATGGATTGAATGGACAGGCCCACGTCCCACTCAGGGCTTTACGGTTCTGGGCACTCGCTAACATACTCAAACCAGGCACTAGTCCCGGGGGCGGGGGGGGGTGGGAATCTAAGGTGAGCCACCATCTTGGTGTGCCCAGGACTGAGAGGGTTTCTAAGGACACCAGACTTGCAGCTTTAAAACTAGAGAAGCCCAGGGTGTGCTAAGATGAGTTGGTCACTCTAGAAGAAACAGCGCCTTCAGTTTTCCGCAGGTTAAATTCAGCCAAGATGAGAACAGCATGGTAGCTAACCACTCAATCAAAACATAAAGTTGGGGTTCTCTGCCCAGTTCTGTGCAGGGCCTTGCATATTTCACCGAAGAGAGGATTTTTCGCAGGAACCACGTGTCCCCCGGCTTATAAACAGGCCCCCACCCCGACCTCTTACCCCACAGGGGTAAGGTCTTACCCCTTCTTCCCCATCGCATGGAGCGTCCTTATCTGAGCCCAGGGATCACCTGTCCCCACTTCTCCTTTGAGCTCTGGGGTGATTGCTAGCAATTACTTGAACCTTGCAGACAGGTTTCCCTTCTTCAACCACAAGACCAGAAATCCTCTTCTTATGCCCAGTTTACCCTCAGGAGCTAAAGGGCAAACCATCCATAGGATCTTACATCCCACCCTCCCTGGGAACCAAGGCCCTGCTGTGTCACACGCTGACCTGCTAGCTGGCTCTGCTGTCCTCTGGCTCTTGCAACCAGACATCACTTCATTCTCTCCCTTTGGGACACCGAGTCCCACTGGGAGGACAAAAATGTGGTAAGCAAATTGACTTGCTTGCACATTTCTAAACACCAGCTCTGGGAGAACTTTTCTCATCTTCATAATGACACAGATGCACTTGAACACTGCAGAGAGCCTTGGTCTCCCCGAGCCTTAGTTTCCCTCCTGAGGACTAATATTTCTGTAGCAGGTGCAGTTTAAAAGTAAAGGGAAAGGAACGAGGGGAAACGACAGGCAATGATCCTTAGAAGAGCAGTCCTCACACCGGAGTGCGCATCAGAACCCCCTAGAGGGTCTGGTGGAGTACAGACTGCAGGGTCTCACCCCGCGTATGGGCTTCGGTAGGTCTGGCGTGGGCCCAGAACTTGTATGTCTAACCAGCTCCCAGGGGAGGCTGAGGGACCAGACTCGAAGAAGCCCTGTGTTAGAGTACAGAGCATCCACAGATGTTGACGGGAGGCCTGCCAACGTATCTACAACCCTTTGACGGGTTTCTCTTAGAAATTTGTTTTATGAAGTCAGAGAGGTTTCAAAGTTTAAGAAGCATCTCTTTATCCCCTCCCCGACGCCCTGCAGCTAGACATGGGCCACTGGTCCATCCACATCCACTGTGGGCGCAACATCATCCAAGCACACAGCCCTGTAGCCCGAGGAACACCACAGAGCCCTTTCCCATTAGGAGGCTGGGGGTCTGCAGGCCGTGCTGGGAGAGGGCCCCGGGGGCTGTCACTGAGTCAGGAACACAGTAGGCCCGCCAGTGTGCCATAGGCACTGAGCGAGTACTTGGCAAATTCTCTCCAAAGACACAAACCCTCTCAGTCTACAGAGGTTAAGGGATCTTTCTCCACAGAACTATGTCCAATTTAATTCGCACTCCTATGTATTTACTCTCATAAAGGCAGCCCATTCAAGTTAACTAGCGCCGAACAAACCTGTTCTTTCACGGGCCTGCTCCAGCCAGAGTCCACCTGTCTTCAGTGGGAGAGGCCCCAGCAGGCGGGGCCCCTGGGGGTCTCCATGCCTTGCACTTGCCTACGCTTTGTGCTTTCTCCAGCACCCAGCCTGCTCTCCTCCCGGCTCTCCATCGGACCTGCAGCTTCTCCGACTTTAGTGCAGATCAGCTCCTCTGCCACTGGGTCAAAGAGGAGGACAGTCTGTCCGTCTCTTCGTGGCGTAAATGACCCATTTCATCTCTTACTTAAGAAACTTGTCTTCTGATCCAGAGTCCTTGAGCACGCAAGTGTTTGGAGGCCCCGGTGTATTTGGTGTGGGGAGACTGGAAGCTCAGTTTTCAGTAAGGTGGGCAATTTTGACTTAAATGTAGCTGTCAAGGCCTCAAATTAGAAGAAACACGAGCCAGTTGGCATGACCGTGTGGCGGCTATCTGTTCTATCTGCCAGGTTTTAGTTACCAGCCTTGAAGCCAAAAATGAAATGGGCTTCTAGGAAACAAAAGTGATGGAATGCGCATTGTGAATTATATAACCCACTAGCTTTCCTGGGACCGTGGGGGGGGGGGGCAGGGATACTTTAAAATAAAGTTCTTCAGATGGAGACATGAAATGAGCAACACGGAAAACACCGCCACCACCGGGGTGCCGGAGGCTGCCTCCCACCTCCGAGGCCCTCCAGCCGGCCCTCCCTTTCCTCTGTCCAGTTCCAGCAGTTAACAAGCGCTGCCCCTTTAAGAGCGGGAAGGTGTTGTTTTAAGGGCCTCTAAGCCCCCCTTCTCAATTTCAGCTCCGGGCTGAGATCACATCCCCCAAGGCAGCCAAGGGACAAAAGCTATTTATCAACCCATCTGATAAAACTTCCAATGGGCAGGATCTTTATCTAGACCAAACCGAGATGCACACACATGGCAAAGTCCTGCTCCTCCAAAAGGTGGATTTCTTTTTAAAGAAGACTGTCCTATTTATTTATTTAGTTAGTTAGTTTTGGGAAGAGAATCAAATCAGCCTGTCAGCCAGACCCTTCTGTAGAAGGGGGAACTGCCTTTTAAAAGATGTGTGTGTGGGGAGGGAGCAGGCCACCCCGCTGCTGGGCTCAGTATAAGGGGTGTTAATATTTCGGGACGGGGGTGCACGGGGGTCCAAGGGCTCTTTGGGTCACTGACACCCTTCCCTCTCATCTTGTCCTTGGCTGGGGCCTCCCCAGTGGAATCCAGAGCTGGGAGCAGGTTCCGGCTCTCCTGGACGCCCTTGGGCCGCGCAGCTGCGGAGTGAGCTGGGCGCGCTGGCCTCCGCGGGCGCCGGAGGCCCCGGAGCGGGGCTGGGGCGAGAAGGTAAACTGATCCCTTGCCCCTTACCGCCGCCAGTATGGTCTGCCCGCCCGCAGCCCCAACTTGCAGCCAGGCCGAGCCCGGACTGCCCAGTTCTGCCAGTTCCTGAAACCCAGTTGGCTGGGAAGCAAAACAAAACAACCCAATCCCAGTCTAACTGAAATTCTTTCTTGCAAAGAGCTCGGTTGTGCGCGGGGGCTGCGGATTCGCGTCCGGGCCGCAGAGCGAAACAAGCTCGCACTTCTGCAGACGGACACCTCGGCACCCCGCAACACAATGGAGCCGGCCGGGAGATCCCGCCTTGCGACGGGGACCATTTAGCCCGTGACACTGCGTTTATTTGTATTTTTAGCAAGAGAAAAATGGGTATAAAGGATTTAACTGGCGTTTCCAGGCTGTGAGTAGCATATGGCCAAAATGAAATAAAGTTTTATGAAACATTATAAAGAAAACAGACCGGGGATTTAAGTTTCGTGCCTTCCCCCGCCCCCCGAAAGGGAAAAAAAAAAAAAAAGTAAAGAAACTGGAGCGTTTGGGAAGGAACAAATGCTTCTCTGTGGAGTTGGCCTCCCTTCCCCCAACAAAAACAAGAGGTCCGGGCTCGGAGGAATTTGAAAGCAGCGATCTGCCAAAAACATTGTGAAAAACTATGGGGGATTCATTGGAAACAGATGGCTTTTTCAGCTTTAATTCTGAAATTCTCTCCCTTTCTGACACAATAAAAACAAACAGGGGGCGACGCGGAATGTTATCAAACAGGAATTCGGGCTCGCGTGAGCCTAGTCCGTGGGCTTCCCCGCGTGGGCAGGCGCGTGGGGGCGGGACGGCACTGGGTCCCGGAGGAGGGGGCGGCCGGGGACCCGCCCGGGACCTCAGGGGCGGCCCCAGCTCCACCCCTGGGCACCCGGCAGGTTCGCACACTGGTGGGCGAGCTGCAGGAGTAAGTGCCCCCTGCTGCGAGTCCGCGATCCCTCCCCCTCCCCCCTCCTTCGGGGCCCCTAAGGGGCGCGTCCCCGGCACCCCCTTTCTCGGAGGGAGGGAGGCGCCCCCGGCCTCTGCGACCTCCCTGCTCCTGCTCCTTCTCGTGGCAGCCAGGCGGGGCCCTTCCACCCCCCTCCCTCCGCCCCCCGGGTCCCCGCGGGCATCCATCGCGCTCTCGGCGGGGCGCGGGAGAAACAAAGACCGGTGGAAGTGGGAGGCGGGGGTCCCGGGGCTGCCGGCGAACTTCAGCTCCGACTGGGTAGCAGATGTGTGGCCGAGGGGCCGCGACGAGGCCCGGGAGCGGGCCCGGCCGGCCGTCCCCGCGCCGGGGGCAGCGCCTTACCTGCCGGGAAGCTGCAGAGAAGGAAGGCGAGGGTCGGCCAGAATCCCAGGGCTGAACGTCCTGCCCCTCTCCCCATACCCATCCATCCAGCTCGGCCTGTTACCACTAGCCTCTCCCTGGAAGAAGAGTTTAGAAGAAAAGAAGAGGAAAATAAATCACGCTGCGGAGAAAGGGCAGCCTCGCTCCGCCGGCGGGAGCAGCGAGCCGGGAGGCTCGTTCCCCCTCGGCCGCGGGCGCCCGGCGCGCCCCCCCTCACCGCGCGCCCCTCCCTCGCCCTCCCTCCCCCGGGTCCCCTCCAATGTCGGCGCTGCCCCGCCGCCCCAGCCGCCGCGCGGCCCGCCCCCTCGCGCTCGGGTTTCAGCGCGGCCCGCGGGGGGTGGGGTGGGGGAACCAGCTGGGCGGGGACCGAGGCGGCGGGGCTCCGACGCTGGCTGCGGGGAGCTCGGGAACCCGGGCCCGGGGGGTGCAGGGTGCGCCCCGGCTCCCCGACCCCCGCGGCAGCCCAGGCAGGGGAGGCCCAGCGCCCCCGGACGGCCTGCAGAGCGTCCCCCCCATCCAACCTGTAGATACCCAACCCAAGTAGAAACTGCGCTGGGAGACAAACCCCAGGACCCCGTTCCAACCAGACTGCCGTCCCGAAGGCGCCACCCACACCCCCTGGTTCATTTCTCTCACTCAGTTGTGTCCCCCAGGCAGGAGGCTGGAAAATCCGCTTCCGAGTTGTCCGAGGCTGTCCGGGATGGTCCGCTGGCTCTCAGCCGCCAACGCACCACGAGGCTCCCTCCCACCGAGACCCCGGGCCACCCACCCCACCTGGGCTCTGAGCCTCCGGCATCCCCCTCGAGCACCTCACTGCTTCCCCGGTACTTGCCCTGGCTGCACTCCCGAGTTGGGGACCTGAGAGCCTGACGGAGGCGGCAGGACGGCTGCCACCCCGGAGGAGGTGTGGATACAGTGGTCTCTGCGGTGCGCCGGGCCCGGCCTCCTGGGGCTGCCAGGGCCAGGCCACCAAGGCCGCTCTTGGGAGGGCATCAGGGTGGTGACTTCCCTTAACTCGGTCGCTTATTTTTCCAGGAGAAAAATGTCTCCTCCCCAAGGTTGCCTAGGACCTGCAGCTCTTCTGCCGCTGTTGGGATATTTAAGAGACTGGCAACTTGCCCTGAGAAACATCTTTTGGATGGAACGCAAATAGGCCAGAGCAAGTGTTTTGCGTCGAACCAATTCCTCTCTTGGCCCCCCTCACCTCTCCTCCAAGCCTACTCATCTGGTTCTTTGGAAAAAAATTCTGTATTTCTATCCAATTTTGATGTTTCTCTTAAGCACTATCGCAGTCCTCACTTGCTGAAGGCCACACAGGCTGCAAGCCTGCGCCTGCACTTAGGACTCTGTCCGCCAGGAGGGGAGTGTAGCTCTGGAGAAGCAAGCTTTGGGCAAGGGGAAGAAAGCCCAATGTCCCGTGAAGTCGCAACCCAAGCAGTCATCCTTCTGAATCTGGCTTCTGCAAAACAGGTGAGAAAGGGGGCTGAGGTCTCAGCCAGCTGTGCCATGGGGCGACAGGAAGCTGTTGTTCCCTGGGGGCAAAAATACCATGAAGGCAACTAGTCGCCTTTAAAGTTGCACCACCGCATTTACCCCAAATAGTCAGGCCTCAGTCCAACAGGCTGTAATTATCATTCCCCCAAACTGGGGTTCATTTTAAGCCCTGATTTGCAAAATGCTGCGGTTCTGTCTGGTGGAAAGCCAGCACCTCACAATCCAGGGGTCTCATGGCATTCTTCTTGGGCCAGATGTAACGGTTTATTCTATAGAATCCTAGGACAGCACTGACCCACTGAGGCAGGCACAGAGCCAGACTGCACAGAGGCACCTCCGAGGTCCATCCATTAACACCATTTGTTGGATTGTGCCCTGCACAGTTAGTTCTAAAGCTTCTCGCTCATGAGAGGGAGGGGATCCATCAGCATTCCCGGCAGCCCCAACAGTGACTCAGCCACAAGCACTGCTGGGCATGTGCAGTAGGGAATGCAGCCCAGGGGGGAAGCTGTGCGGGCTTTGGAAGACCCGAAAGCCTTTCTGATGTGGTCCTTGCCTGAGGGTGGACCTTTGGAAGCAGGACTTGGAGCCTCGGTACCTCAATTTCTTCTTCTGTAGGGGCAGGCTGATAATCTTGTCACCCTGAGATTGCAACCAAATAGTTTGGGAGGGGCACCGGGCCATGGGAATGCCCCAGAGTTCCTGCTACAAGATCGGCTGCCATTTTGTGAGGAGATCCAATTCTTAGGACATAAGCACATGATTTAGGAAGGGGATGGATGCAGAGGGCTTCTCCTTTTTTTTTTTTCCTCACGAGGAGAGATGTGTGAGACTGAATTTGGACATCACAAAAGTGGAGATTTGGCCTTTATGTAGTTTAGACTATCAAGAGAAAGCCAGTCCCCAAAAAAGCAGGATAGGGTCATGTTGGCCTTGAGCAATCTGTCTATACTGGCCAAACCAACCAGCTTATTGACAACTCCACAGGTCTTTGCAAGAAGAATTTCTTGGAACACTGGGGGTTATGGAACTCAGCACTCTATCCACCAAAGAAACTCATTTAACTCAAAGCATAGCTGACTGCATATAAACAGTTCCCATTATAGAGGGTGACCACTTACGGGTTTGTCCCTAGTTGTACTCTGAGCCTCAGGTTACCGATTTTCCGTTGCATGGCTTTTGCTCCCAATCACCCAACCCTGGCTGTGTTGGGCCCAGCCCCCCACCCTCCACCTTTAGGCACTGGGGCTGTGTGGTGGAGGGACAGGGGATTTCGGAAAGGCAAGGTTCTACATAAGGCGGAAGCCCTCCCAGGGGCGAGGGGTGTCAGGGACTCCAGCTTTCCCTGCCTCTGGGTACAAACGGGGTGTTCCCAAATCCAGGACCTGAGTCATCAGTCAATAAATGTATATTCAGGACTACTGCATGCTAGTCCCTGGGGGATAAAGAAATAAATAAGACAGGCCCCTATCTTTGACTGCTGGTAGAAACCAATATTAGAGGAAGGTGAGGGGCAAATAACTGCCTGCGGAAGGCTTTATCGAAAAGGTGGTGTGTCTTGTGGGGTGTTTTGAAGGATTCATTTTTACTAAGAATGACAGTAATTATGGCTCATGCTTCAACACGCTCTCACATTATGTCAAGTGCTGGCTAAGTACATTTCTAGACACTTTAAGCTAAGGTAGGTTCTACTATCATCCCCATTTTGCAGATGAGAAACTGAGGCTGAGTAAAGTCAAGTATTCACCCGATGACTGGCTAATAAACTGTAGAGCTGAGCACACCAAGCCCACGCCTGATGTGCTGTATGGGCCATTGATTCCAGTGATGCAAGTCCGCACTGGGCTTCAAGTCAAGGCTAGAGGACAGATCACTTAACAATCACTTTCAATAAAGCAGAACACAGACTCTTGACAGCTGAGACACAGAACCTAGGTGCCAGGGGCCTTCAGCTCAGACTGGGGTGCAGGGTGGCGAGGGAAGTTTTCCCAGTGCGGAAGAGTGTGGTATGTGTGTGTGGGGTGGGGGTGGGGGGAGATGGTAGGCAAGGGAGGGGGAGCAGGGCAAGGATTCCAGGCAGAAGGAACAATGAGTATCATGTGTCCCAAGGTGTGGCCTGCCTGAGGAGCTGGAAAACCTTGAGGATGAGGCTGCAGGAAGACAGAGCAGGAGCCTGGGAAAGCACGGGAAAGCCCTGCACGTGCTCAGCTAGGGTGTCCATTTTTAGCACCTGGGAGCCCCACTGGAGGCCTCAAGAAGAGGAGAGATTTAGTCTTTTGGGGGAGACCACTGTGGGGAGTTTAGCAGTAATACTGCCCAGGAACTATTCCAGAGCAGCTGAATCTGAATCCCTGGGTAGAGCCTGGGCATCAGCACTTTTAACAAGCTCTCTCAGGTGACTAAAGTGTAGGGATTTGCTAGGTTGGAAAGTCGCATCACACGTCATCAACCCTGGGTGCCCATTAAGACTTGGGTTGACTCCATCAGTGTATCCTCTTAGACTTAAAGTTGAGGCGAGACAGGTAACTTAATAATCACTTTCAATAAAGTAGTGACTGGCACGTGACCCAAGCTGACCAATCAGTGTCTGTCCTGAGACTCTTGCTATGGGGGAGCCCCGTCCTGGTCTCTGATTCCAAAATAGGATGGGTCTGCAGGTAGCAACCTGATGGGGAGGCCAGTGTGTATGAGGGTTGGCGGGTGGAAGCGGCGACGGCAGAGTTGGCATACTGTTTTTACTAGCATTGTACTTTATCTGGTGAGCTTTTCTGGGACTGATGGAGACTTTCAGGGCTCCCCATGCCACTCCAGCAACTGATTCTCTCTATACCCCTTCTGAGCTATATGAGTACCAGCTCCAGCTGTGGAAACCAACAGAGTTCCTTATTTTGCTGAAACTGGTTTGATTGAGGATTCTCTCCCTTGTGCACACAGACTTCCAGCAAGGAGGGAGCTAATGGTCCAACACGGGTCCCAAGAAGTCCTTTCGCCAGCCTCCCGAGTGCAGAGATATGTTGTCAATGACGCCTAATCCATCATTCATTTACTGGTAAAATTACCTGAGCCTATTCTCATCCCCTACACCCCCTACCTCTGAAAACATTTTGCCTGTGCCATGTCTTGAGGAACTCAGTTGCTTCAATTTACAACTGAGAGGGGGACCCAGTTCTCTTTAATTGAAATAAAACTTCAAGTTCCTCTTTCAAACTTCAAGGGCTCCTGTGGGGTCTGGCCGTCTCAGATTGATGAACCAGACCTTGTTCACTCTCTCCGTAACTGTGCTGAGAAGCCAGAGCTGGTGTATTGCATTAAGAATCTGCAGATTATGACCTGCTCAATGAGGGGGCACAAGCCCCCCTCCCACATGGGGTCAGCAGGGGGTTCCCTCAGCATCCAAGCTCCCACTTTGGGCAAGTGAAACCCACAGTCCTGTTTCGATTGAAGGTGCAGTTTCAATAGCCCACATCAAGGAATTAAGAGTCACAAGATTTATTACTCACAGGTCCTGGAAAGAGCAGGATGGGTGGGGTGCACAGTGAGCCAGGCAAGGGGCAGCCCTCCATCCCAGGATGAGAAAGAGCAGGAGACAGAGAGCAGGGTAGAAGCATCTACTACTTACAGGACGTGGGGGTGGAAGTCACTCACTTTTCTTGGGCTGAATCCTAAGGGTTAATTCAAAAGGTACCCTGGGAAAAGCAAAGCAGGAGCTTCTAGCCGGAACTCTAAACCTGAGTTCTGATCTACATGTCCAGGGTGTGAGCAGGGTTCTCCTACTGTAAAATGCATAGGTTGCAACTTGGAAAAACTAAAGCTGTTTTTCTCATCATAGTAACTTTCTTTTTATTTCTTCTTCCTTCCTTCCTCTTTTTCTTTCTTTCTTTCTTTCTTTCTTTCTTTCTTTCTTTCTTTCTTTCTTTCTTTCTTTCTTTCTTTCTTTTTTTCTTTCTTTCTTTCTTTCTTTCTTTCTTTCTTTCTTTCTTTCTTTCCTTTCTTTCTTCTTTTTCTTTCTTTCTTTCTTCCTTCCTTCCTTTCTCTCCTTTCTTTTTCTTTCTTTCTTTCTTTCTTTTTCTTTCTTTCTTTTTCTTTCTTTCTTTCTCTTTTTCTTTCTCTCTTTCTTTCTTTTTCTTTCCTTCTTTTTCTTTCTCTCTTTTTCTTTCTTTCCTTTCTTTCTTCTTTCCTCTCTTTTCTTTCTTTCTGTTTCTTTGTTTCTTTCTTTCTTTCTTTTTTCTTTCCTCTCTCTTCTTTCTTCCTTCCTTCCTTTTCTTTCTTTTAAAAGATTTTATTTATTTATTTGAGAGAGAGAGAGAGCAAGAGAGAACATGAGCGGGGGGGTGGGGCAGAGGGAGAGGGAGAAGCAGGCTTCCGACTGAGCAGAAAGCCTGACGCGGGGCTCGATCCCAGGACCCTGGGATCGTGACCTGAGCCGAAGGCAGACGCTGAGCCACCCAGGTGCCCCTTCATCACAGTAACTTTCAAGGCTTTATAG